TTCTAGATCCTGAAACAAGGGATGCTGGAAAATCTCTTGTAGGAAATTATGACTGAGCTAAAATGTGCCTGCCTATAACTTTTATTCATTGATCTAATGGCTACCTTTGGCAGTCATGCAACCAGTACACTCTACTTCCACCTGCCAGCCCTTCTTTTAGACTTTTGCCATAACCTCTTTAATTGTCTCCCTTGCAGAATAAACCTGACAGGTTACAGGACAGGGTTTCCAGATGCCTTACCATAATGGTTCCCCTCCTCAGGGGAGTCCCAATTGCACAACACCCCCCTTGAAACACAGATTACAATATTTGGGATTTGGCATATCCTCAGTGTTCCATAAACTAAGAGATAAATCCACAAACACCCTGACATACATAGTATACAAAAACTATTCTCCCCTTTTATCGACACATTGTACTTATATTAGTGCAACCTGAATTTATACTAGCTTTTCCAACAAGGATTTCCACATGCCTGTTGGCTTGAGTATAGAGGAGTGTCCCCTGGGGGACAAGCGTCCAGAACAAACTAATTGATACCTATCCCATTTTGGGGCCTTTGACAAAGACCTAGGTAATACAACAGAAAAGGTGAAATGAGAAAGCGAAACTCGAGGACCTCCCTGCTGGTGCTGGGGTTAAATCTCAGCCCTATCACCACTTCAGCCTGAGTTCGATCTCCAGCCAAGGAGTTGACCCACAATATGGCGCAGCAGACCTCTCCAGTCTTGTTCCCTGGTCCCCTTAGCAGTGTATTTCAGTAAAAATGCCTGTTCTGCTCCCCACTCTGTCTCTGGTGATCCCTCTACACCCCAGTTCTTCTATGCATAACTAAATAAATCTTAAAAAAAAAAAAAAGCAAAATCCTAGTCATGCAGCAACAAAAGCTTGCCGATGGCTGAAAAAGGTCTGCCTTCCTTTCATAAATCTGGACTGTGGGTTATTAAGCGATGCAGATCAGCAAATATTTCTGATCCTTTTCCCAGGTGCACAGTAGAAATGCACTTCCAACCTCCTTGAAGTCAGGAGTGATCATGTGACATGGCTTCAGACCATGAAATGTTAAAGAGCCAGTTCCCAACTCAAGTTCCCCTCCTCTTGCCCGTAGCAATCACAGAAGCACAGAAATGGAGCCTCCCTCAGTAAAGCCGAGCAGAGCAACTCAGGTGAGCTGTAATGAACAAGCATTGAAAGTCAACTAAACCTTAGTTGTTCTAAACACCGAGATTCTGTCTGTTGTTGTCACCACAACCCACTCTAGCCCATCCTGATGATTCTGTATCACTGAAACTAGAACACACAGAATTCACATTTTTCTGGATCCACCAGATCATAGCTTTCACATTATTTTGCTTCTCCACGTTTCTAATCTGTGAGATGGGAAACCATCTTTGGGTGAGCAGGCACCTGTTTTACCAAGCAGCTCAGGTGAGCCCCACCTGCCAACAGTGAGGGAGATGTTATCTGCTTACATCAGTAATGCTCCAAAGAAAGTTACCATGGAGACCATTTTTTTCCTTCCCATAGAAGAAACCCAAGATTATTGGACTAAAATCCACCTAAGATTGTCACTGCAGTGCAGAGAATGAGTATCTGGAGGAGATTTAAGATGACTGAAAGAATCTGGGAGTAATTTAGAAGGATGGAAACAGGTCATCTAAATTAGTGGTTCTCAAGACTTTACCTGAATCATCTGAAATTGAGCTAAAACAATTTACAGGGTCCTACAGCTCCAGTCTCTGGTTTAGTAGGTATAGAGTGGGGCCCGAAAAGTGGCACAAGTTCCCAGGTGATGCTGGCTTAAAGGCCACACTTTGAGAATCACTGGTTCAGGAGGATTAGCAACAAGACACCAGAATGGAGGCTCTGACAAGAGGAGTCCATATGGTGATGACCCTCCAGGGTCTGGCTGCTATTAACATACCCTCTTTGGAGAAGGAAAAGACAAGACTCAGTTTTCCTTTCTTTACACAAAACAATCATCTGAGAATTGATGTGGAAAGAATACAAAGGTCATCTCAGTCTTTTTCCTCAACACATAACACACTACACAACAAAAGTAAGCTCCTCTAAGGGAAGAAAATGGAAATTTCATTCATTGGCACACATAAAAATTGGTTTCTGTGAGGGGAGTCATGTCTCATTCACCCTCCAGAGCTCCCCCAGGAGGTAAATCGGGCGTATTTCAGGAGGAAGTCATTTAGTTTAGACAACTGGCAGCAGCCCCGTCCCCGACCTTATCTCTGAGCTCCCTCCCACAAGCCTCTACTACAAGCCTGTCTTATTGCCCTCTGACCCTACCAAGTCTGGTCAAACTTCTCTTTGCAACACTCTCTACCCCATCCCCCCCCCCATGGGCTAATTTTCACTTATCTACATCCTTCCCCTTCTCCAGTTTAGGGCCAGACACTTCAAGAAAATCTTCCCTCCCTTTCATCCCCATCACAGCCAATCAATCACAAAATCATATCCCTTTACCTCCCAAGTATCTCAGCGCCCTTCAGTTTTCACTCTAACTCAACAGGTATACATCCCCAGTGCTCTATCCTCTTCTCCCTCTAGGTCTTTGTCCAGGTGTACACCTTGACTGGACAGTTCTTAATTTAAACACTTCCCTTCCCGGGAGGGAGAGACCTTCCATGGTCTCCCAAGTCAGGTAAGAGATGTCTTTTATCAATTCCGATTGAACCTTAAGTTTCCCCTCCAGGACACTTATCACATGTGTGAGCTCTCATTATCGACCTTCCCTAGTCAACCTTAAGCTTTGCACAGACAGGGCCACATTTGTCTTGCTTGCAGAGGTAACTGTAAAGTCTGGCACAGCCCCCTGAACACAATGAAGTCACAATGAGGAAACACAGAATTCACTGTATCAGTTCATAGGACTCCACCCCCCCTCTCAATGCCTAAAACACTTTCTGCCTGCTTCAAGGGATGTCTGGCCATACAATTTCACTTGAGACAAGCAAGCATCCTCCTGGACATGCAGCTAATGGGATCTAGAGAGAAAACATGACCCTTGAAAACAAGGAATATCTTTTCCTTGGAAACCGGATGGAATTGAGATACAGAAATATTTTGGTAGATAAAAGAGGCTACCTCCTCAGAAGTTTGTCAGAGGACAAAGTGTTCTAACAGTAAGAAATGGAGGTGTTCCTAATGGAAAGTCTGCATTTGTCTAAAAGTCCATAGTAAAACTGGTGACTTCCCAAGCTAAGTATTCTGATGGAATCTCCATCCAAACCTTTAATAACAATGGGATGCCTAAGAAAGGGGGCTGAACTCAATGACCTCCTAAGATCTTCTGACCTTCAGGATTCCATAAACAAACTCATTCCACTGGAATTTGAAGAATTCACATTCTGTCTCTGCCTTTAAACAGCAGTTCTTTCTCTTTGTAGGAGACAAGATTATCTTTACCTTCTACCCCTCTCTCTCTCTAGTAGTATTATTGTTTCTGAAGTCGGCCCTCAACCCCAAAGTCCAGTCATCATGTTCCATAGGCCACCAACATCAAACTAGTTTAGCAGGCAGCCTCTCACTTGGGCAAGGGTTAACCCCAATTAAAGGGATCAAGCTGGGCTGACATCCTAGCTTTTCTACTTCGAGTCATGGCACTTTGGGCAAAAGGCTTTCCTTCTTGGGAGTACTGTATTAAATAAAGCTATGCATGTAAACCCCTTGGCACACAGTAACCATGTAAGGAATGTAAGCATTATCATAATTATAGATTTCTAGCTTTAAAAGTTCTGTAGACTGTTTCTAAGCTGAAGATACTATGGAGATAAAATGATATGTTTAGAACTTGCTTCAAAATAATGAAGGGAGTAAGGGGGGTGGTATAAATGGACTAAAATCAGCCATGTTTTACAGTTGAACATGGGTGATGAGTGCATTAGGTTTATTACTGTATCTCTCTACTTTTGTGTATGTTTGAAATTTTCCATTATAAAAGCTGTAAGGTGTCAGTACTGAGGGAGGGAAATGCTATAAAAATATACACGCTGATCATTTATTTAAGATCAAATTTGGTGAAGGTAACTCAACAGAAGAAAAATGATTTGCAAAGAAAAAAAACACAATATGTCTTTATTAAGTTCTCAGACAATTGTTTTCTTCAAACAGGACAGTCTCAGATGTTCCTCCCTGGTGGTGCAAGTGGTTAAGGACAGCACTGTGAAGCTATCTGCAGCCTCTGCAGCATGTGTTCGATACCTGGCCGGCCAGGGAGCAACTCACATGGCGCAGCAGACCTCTTCTGACTCGCCCGCTGCTCCCCTCAGCAGTGTAATTCAGTCAATCCACCTATTCTGTTCCCCGCTCTGCCTCTGGTGAATCTTCTCACCCCCTGCACCTCTGGCCTGTACCCAAGTTTGTGTATGCATAATATATCTTAAAAAAAAAAAAAAACAGAACGGTCTCGATGAGCAGACGGGAACAGAGCCATTTGCACACATTTTTCTGCCTTCATTTTGGGGAGAAGAACACATACTTCTTAGGATGCACATTTCTAAGTAGACAGACCTTGGGTGATAGAGCCAGTCTTGGAGTATCCCAGAGTCCCTGCTGCAATAGGACTGAGGAGCCAGAACATTCCTGGCTTAGGAAAAGCAAGAGAAAAGTACTCGAACTGTCCAGAGATAATGGGTGTTACTCCTCTCTTGGACTCCTACAGGAGGCTGGCTCAGCACTCTGGAGCAGCACACCAGGTAGATAGGTGGCACAGTCAGTGTGTTGGAGGATGCTTGAGGGGAAAGAGATGTCTCTAAAAGGCTCTAACACACCATTCACAGCTCATCCCCATGTCACCCCCCCCCCAAGTCTCTCTTCCCACAGAGACTGAAAAACAAAGTTCTCACATTTCACCTCAAATCAATGAACCCACTCCAAGCCCCTCCATCTGAGGAAGAAAAGAGGCCAGCCAGCACGCTTTGTTTTGAACGAATACTGGTAAGCTCCCAAACTCTGCCTAGAAAAGGAGTATATATGAAGTACTTACTCTTCTTGAAGAATAAAGTCACTGTTTTCTGGAGAAAACTGCCCAGTCACAGGATGCCTGAATGCTGTGGTCTGCTGGTTATGACTGAAAAAAAAAAGAGAAACACACAATGAATGAGCAGTCACGTGAAAGCGAAGGATTACAGGCACAACAGGCCAGTAATGTCTGAGGACCCTGATCATCAAAGATTCCTCCCAGGGCGAGAAAGTGGGCAGCTCCTCCGAGAGGCACTTAATCTGTCAGAATCCAACTGTATTTAATAACCAAGAACTTTGAGCTCAGGTGCCAAAGCCCACCTATGATGAGTGGATTTAATGCTAGGGAAGTCTTGGCTCCCTGAGAACACAGCATCTTAGACATTCCATGAAGTACTTACTCCAACAAAGTGAGGTGCTGAACAGAAAGTTATTTGAGGATGGCATGAGCTAAACAAGAATGAAGGAAAGCAGGCAGCACTTTCAACAGCTTCCCAAAACCATGAACTAGGAAAAGAATTCTAAGAATTAACCACACACCCGGAAAAATTTATCTTCTAAAAATTCTTCTGCTACAAAATTCTTCACTCCATGATGGGCTATAAACGCATAGGCATGTCCCTGCAACATGACCTGCACAATTTCAACACTGTGGAGTTTCTATCACCCTTTTGAAGTTGGGAGGGATCAGCTTCCACGCCAAGCTGACAGACACAACCAGAGTGTGTAGGTGTTTTGTATATTCACAAAGGCTGCCTCTTTGAAAAGGGGGAGGAACCCGGCTGGAGAGGCTGCCGGTTTGCTCCATGAAAGAACTAAGCTAGCCTCCTTCTTTATAAAAGAATGCCACTTATTTGAAAACTTTGTCTCAGTCACAAAATCTTAGTCATTTTGAAATATATAGAAAGGAAAACTGTAACCTATGATCTCACCATCTGGAGATACCTGCCTATTTCCTCCTTCCTAGCTATTTTTCACATACACACACACACACACACACACACACACACACACAAGTGTGTGTGTGCTTTCATTAATTTAGAAATATGTATCATTTTTCATACTCTATTACCATAGAAAATCCCCTATAGCATTAAGACTTCTTCATTATGGGGATATAAACTTTTTTTTTTTCATATAACTGTTCAAAAAATATTTATTGGTTATCCAGATGTGGGGCACTGCTGTAAGTACTGGAGATACAGAAAAGTTCTCACCCTATGGAGCTTACATTCTAGAAAGATTTATATTCTTCTAATGCTGGATATTTAGGTGCTCCCTGCAACTCACTATTATGATCAATATATCTTTACTTATAGGCTTTTTCTACAATTCAAATTATTTCCTTAGTGTAAAATCCCAGAGGTAAAACTACTGAATCAAAGGACCTGGTCATTTCTGAAGCCTCCTAATACAGCTAAAATGCCTTCAGTGTCGGCATTAATCTGTCATGTCAGTTCAGCAGTGTTAAGTGATTAGTCTCATCTCTAAATTGAGCACTGAGTCACCCTAGAAATTAGCAGTTAAAATGAGCATAGGATAGAGGTTTAAAAAAAAACTCCAGGCCTTTTCTTATTCTGCCTGGTCAGGCTGTCCTGTGTTCTCAAGTCAGGGCAAGCTGGGCACTGAGCTTAGAGCAGCCTGGATCCTCATGAGACAAATGTGAATCAAGGCAGAGCCATCAGGCCAGGCTGCTCCCTGGTCCTGCAAGTGTGCACCCCTTCCAGCCCCTCCTCACCCGTGCCAGCCACTCAGAATCCTATGACCTCATCTGGTAAGCAGCAGCCTGGTCTTCCCAAAAAAGCAGAGCTAAGCATGAGTGTCTAGATTCGACCCCTTGAACACCTGTTTCAGAATCCTTGTACCAAGTTTAGGGATAGGCTTTATTTACACCCCACTTCTTTTAGAAGTCATCTCCATTCACCAGGAAATTCAGTTTGAAAACATGAACTCTTAACTCACCTCATTTCAACCTAGAGGGGAGAAAGCGCCACACTCATCATGGGTTTAATAGTAAAGCAACACCACTATCCACTACTACCCCTCAAGGGCGCCATAGCCTGCAAAGCCTTTCCTTACACATCTTAGCTATTAACACTGTCAACTCCCATATGATGGCTAAGACTCAGATGTTAAGTGACTCGCTCAAGATAAGTTCATCATAACTGATAACCCTAAGACATGAAGAACGCAGGTCTTATAGTTCTACATTCTATTCCTTTTGCATGATGACCTGGGGTCTCCCCTGCCTTTGAGAGTCTGCAGAGCTGGCAGCTCGCTAGCCATGATCAGAAATCCCTAAAGACAGGTGTCCGAAAATAGCACCCACCAACCACTGCTACTCCCATTTCCTCTCCTTCCCTCCCTTTCTCTCTCCCTCCCTTCCTTTCCTTGGGAAGATACAAGCAAAGAATGAATCTTCTCTACGCCTAGTGCATTCAGCAACCACTTCACATGCACTGCACAATCCTAGTAGCAACTCCTACCTAAACAAGTCTAGGGTCTTGCATAAATGAATCCTGAGCTGGAAGGTGTAGGCACTAAAGGAATTTTACATTCTAACATTAGAAGGAAGACAGTTTTAAAAAGTGGACAGAATTTCAATTGTCATTTTATCTGATCTACAGGCAACTCCCCAAACTCTCTTCCCCAATATGGATGCCAAGCTTTTTGCCAAGACAGTTTCCACCCCAGTCTCATCCTCGCTGTTTCCTACATTTACACAAAACTTTAAGTGTGGACACATTCATCATCGTACTTGGCCCTCCCACGTACCACCTGAAGTAGGCAGGGTACAGTTTTATCCATGTTATACACAGAGAACTGAGGATACAGGGTATGGGATGTTATTGGCACAATAAATTTAAAAGAAAAAAAAATGGACACACATTGAGAAAAGAGCTGAAACAGTGATGCTGCTCTGGGGAGAGTACTGAACTTGCCCAGCTTGCTAATGGCAGAGCTTCTGATTCAGCACTTTTTCAGCAAAGGAAGAATTCGGTTCTTGGGCTATTTCATTCAGTCTTCCCAAATTCCCAGTAGGGCAAGCAGGCTCAGTATAGCCATGCCAGATGCCAGGTAAGGGAAGTAGGCCAGAAAGGGCAGACCACGTGCCTATGGGCCAACCCCTGTGCTCCTGCATGCCCCTGCTCTCCTGGTCTCTTTCCGCTATTCCAGGCTCACTTCACCGAAGGAAGGCTGCCTATTCAAGGCCCAATCACCATGCTGATCAGCACACCAGAGGGGAGATTGCAGATTCTTCTGGCTTTACCTGCTGCCCCGACAACTCAGCCCAAAAGCCCTCAGCCTGTTGCAGTTTCTAATTCTATAAGCCATGAGGAATCTCATGTCTCAAGACACAGTTAGCAGGCACAGACAAATCCCCTGAAATACCTGTTCTGAAACCTGAATTGCCACCTTGCTCCTTGGTAGTGATGGAGATGGCCCGGCCAGGAGCCAAGTGGCTGGTTTCAAGGGAGCACAGAAACTCTCCTCCACACAAGGGCTTCTGTTTCTCTTCAAGCAAATGAGGTAAAACACAACCTAGCCTTTATTCTCAGATCCCGCTCTTTCTCCCAGCAGCAGGCACTCCAAGTTGAATGACAGCCAATCTCCTGGGAGAGGACCAGGGAGCATAAATGGAAGGTGGCAAAAGGATGATCCCCGTGAAGGCGGGCCACAGGCAACCATCGACGTAAATAAACACGTCTTCACAAGCCCTGAACTAGGAAGGACTTGGGTTAGGCCCTAAAGAAGTCTGACAGCAAACACAGACACTTGGTAAGGGAACAGAGAGAACAGGGAGAACTGGAGACTGGTATGAGCTCAGCCTATGGAAGAACCCACCTACAGTCACAGACAGGGCTAGTCAAAATGTAAATGGGTCCTACAAATTTGCAAGATTAATTTTCTACTCCCAAGGGTTTTGACTATAATGTGCCCAGTGCCTGTGGTTGGTTAAACACAAAGGTTCCAACTACTTAGCCCAGCAATTTTTTGGGGCATGGCATGAAGTTCTGGAATTATGTGAATGGTGCTCAAGAGTGGCAGTCAGGGCGCCCTGATGAATCTGACAGTGGTGGCATTAGTATGCTGCGAGTATGACAAATCTGCTCCGTCAGCACTAGCTCTTATCGGGCCTGTGCTCCTCTTTATAGAAAAGAAACAGCTTAAAATGTAAGGAAGTGTCTGGCCTCAAAGCCTAAAGAGGGACTCTATCCAGGCTCTCCTTGTTGGTATGCCAGGCAGCGCATGTCACTCAGGACCTTCTGGCTCCTCTGTGTGGCTTTGAGAACATTGTAAAAGTCACCCCACAGCCTTAAGCCACACTCGGCACTGCCTCCAGCCTTGTTAAGGCACCTGCTATCTTTGCACTAAATCCCAGAGTCCCAAGCAAAGCAAGGATTCTGGGTAGCCTTATAATGTTTCCTAGTAGGCCCTAAAACTGATAACTGAGAAACTCCAAGAACATAAGGAATTACCTCCTCATCATCTTCAGTTCCCATTTGAACTGCAGAGTAAAGAGATAGCACCTGAGAGTTGAAACAGAATCTCCACCATCCCTCAATATTTCTTAAGCTCCTATTTGTTTTATCTTACTTAACACTTTCACAAAATTGCTCCTTCAGTGCAAAGTGGCATTGCTGTTTATGGGGCATTTCCGCAGGGTGCTGAGAACATTAATGAGATGGTATTTGGAGCTTGCACTATTTTTTGAAAATGTCAAGATGTGTAACAGCTCGCTGCCCACAGGCATTACTCTGACAGGCCCGACTTCTGGATCAGACCTGATGAGCCGACATAAGGGCCCCATCTTTTCTCTAAGCAGATGCAATCAACTCAGCAATAACCAGCCACCTTCAATATTCACCCTGAGCAGCAAAGTCAGTCCAGAGCCCTGGGTCAGAAAATCTGGGTTTAAAGCAGAGCAAGTCACTTCAGCTCCAAGCCTTTCAGATCTTCCATCGGCAAACAGGGAATAAGACATCCCCCAAAAGTTTATTGTGAAGTTTGGTCTCCCTGGTGGCACAGGGGTTAAAGGCACTGTCAACCTATCACCAGCCACTGCAGCATGAGTTCGATCTCTGGCCAGGGAACTAACCCACATGG